AGCAGCTATGGATGATGCTGCTGCTGAGCATTCTATAACAAACAACAATTTACAAACATCAGCAGTGAAATTTATTTTGTCAGCTTTATTTTATTCCGTTTATTACCTGGGCCGAATATCCCCATAACCGGATTGTCATTCGCCTCATGGTAAAAATAGCGCGTAGTCCAGAATGCTGCTTTTTGATCCATCCCATCACATTCACATGTCACGTTACGGCACGTTACGGTCATAGATGAGAACTCTGGTTATATTCAAAGTATCCTTGTAAGGTGCCATATCTTCCTGTGCCTTAGCAATCACGGGTGCAACAAAGCTCAGACTGGTTGGTGTTTTATCGCCAAATAAAAAAAGCTGCACCAACGCGACGTCCACGGGGGTTGCCGCTACACAGCGGATTAAAGCAAAAGCCGAAAAGAGTACAAATGGTGGATGCATTGCAGATGCAGCAAACGACTGAATGATAACCAGGTCCTTGAATTTTACTAAAATTTGAACATCAGTTTTACGATAAGACTGCAGAAAGATTGATTGTCGATATTTGTTTGTTTAATGGCTGCTTCTTTACAAACAAGGGGAAACTAACGCGCAGCTCAGGGGTGCGCTTCAGAATTGAATGTAGTTTTTCCTGGTAGGTTCGGCACTTCCTTGACAGTCCTTATTAGCGGTCTTCGTCAGTAAACCTGATATATATATCTAGCTGGAGGATCTTTGCTGGTATTATTTTCACAGTAACCGGTTTTAACATAATTCTGAGCACTCTTTTAGATGCTGCTAGATTGCTCATTATACAGACGGTGAATGTATGGCTTCACTTTTTTTCCCGCAGTGATTTCAAGTGGTTTTACCGCAGCAACAAACCTGAACAAGAAGAAGGTGGAGAATTTGATGTCAATATAGAAAACCAAGATAATTCATCGGCATTTAAACGGGTTTGCCATCGCGTTTCTGCTTTATTCATATCCGCTAAACAAGCATGTTTTAATTGTTGCATTTATGCATTAGTTCGACATATCATAAACTGCTGATAAATGCGAATTGTTATCGTTGAGTTCTGACCAGGGCACATTTTCCCCCTCCAAATTCAAAAAATTCTCGTGTTTTGTAAAATGGTAGCGTACTATTGTAGTATGCTTAAAAAATATTTTGATTTGCCATACAACATCGTACAAATTTTATTGCAGGAACGAGCAGTAGAAAGCAGCGGCTAAAAGATCTGCCAGACTTGTAAATCAATAAAACATGGAGCCGGGCAGATTCAGATTAGCTATCTTAGAACATTCCTTTCACCACTTCAAACAGGTTTAAGACAGCGGCAGCCAGCTGCTGGTATTGGTTAGGTGGTTCTGCAATCAAAACAAAATTTAGTTGGTAATGCAGATTGAAAAATGCAATACTCTGAAGCTGCCCGTATTTTAGCGGTTTACGCGCGCCTGGCGTTACTTAAGGTGTCTTTCAAAGATTCAGGAGTTTTCTGTTTGTAAAATGCAGCAGTATATAGAAAGAAGATTCACAAACTCAAACCGTTCAAGCTAAACTGCAGGCAAAATCCAGTTACACTTTTCTCAATTGATGCACGTACTTATAGCATCGCACTGTGGTTTGACTCCACGATAGCCACATTTTGGTTCATTAGGAGGCGGGCTATCACGGTTGTACCACACAATTTGGCGGGTGCTGTTATCCACTGGGTCCCGAGAGGGTTCCACGATTTTGCGCCTGGCAGAATATTCCATCACTGGCTAGAAGCAGATCGAAGACGAATAGTAATTTGAGGTTAGCAGTGATTCGCAAACGTAGAAGTAGTAATTCGTCAAATTTGTTAGAATTAGAATGAAAGCGATAGAAAAATACAGTCACCTGATGATACCTCAGTTTTCTGCATAATTTTATCAAGTTCAGTGGTGAATAATCACCTCAAGTAATGGTTCTGTTAATAGAACACTGGTCAATTTACCAAAAACATGCCGGTTTCGACATCTATCTGGTTCAGTGTCCAGTCAGTCTCGCGATCGCCGTTAGCGCTAATGATGATGTCTTGGCCTAAAATTGTGTACGTGCGGTTCCACATCATTTTGCTCATTGAATACGCATCTTGAGGATTTCCTCCAGCCGCGATAGTGTGGTTTACCACCTAGAGTAGAAGCCAATTCAGACGAAAACGGACAACATAACAGCCGGAAAAAAAATTAGCAGTTTGGTACTTTGTCGTAACTGTGGCAGTTAAACTCCACTAAACGATTTGACGGGACGAAAGAACCCTGGACTGTCAAAAACCGACTGGCTAGGGCAGTTTACTGATCATTACCTTGGCGTAAATGCCGAGAGCGTAATAGTACGCCATAGCAAATGGGTTGACCTTCCAAAAAACAAGGGTTACGGGGTTACTAAGTTTTCGCTGAACTTCGTTCTGATTAATTATGTAGTAAAGGGTAAAGCGCGGGGTTTTATTTGATTTCGTCACAATTACCTCCTCTCCGGCGGCGTATGTGTAGTTGGTTATGCTTTGTGACCGTCGCTTTATTTCGTCTGTAACCTTACGGTACTCGGGCGTGGCATCTGGTTTGCGTAGAGATAATACGAAGAGTGAACGAAATGCCGTACGAGCATCCTGGTAGAAAGAACAAACGTAAGACGAAAGAAGCTTGAGTACAGCAGCACCTTTTACCAGGGATTTTAAGGAACAGGACAAATACAGAGTCTGTACACGGAAAATCCACAACTCTGGCGATACGGTTTTGGAAATCGTTCTTACCGCGCCACGCTTATCGCTGTCTCCGGTATCCCAAGAAATACTACCGAAAAATCTTTTGCTTGGAAAAGGTTCAAATGCGAAATAAACCTGCAGTTAAGCAAAAATTTAAACTTTCGAGCTCACCACAAGCACAATTCTCTTAAGAGTGTTTTGGTAACCTGTTTCAAATACCAGCATTTTGTAGTGATGACTAAAACAATGACAACAAACACATGTTTCATATAAACGCAAAACTAAGAATGCGTTACAGAAGCATTCCTATTATTTTGCAAAACTGCACCAACTTGGCTGAGCAGGGCTGTAACTCACATAATCGCCCTCCGTCATCTTCTTATCCAATGCTGCCAGCTGAAAATACACCACAAAATGTTTATGCGAAGTAGGTGAATCAATTCACACTGGTGCAGACGATATCGGCACCAAGGTTAAACGGTTTACCATGATCGGACGAATCCGGTCGCCATGGGCAATGATGATGACAACTGCAAAAACATTTTCGTTTACCGTTAAGGGAGAAATGAATACTTCGTATCCCAGCTAGCAAAAGAACAGGTAAAAATCGCATTCATTGTTAGGAAAGCAGCAGAACATGCTTCCTGGATTTACACGAATGAAAATTCGGTAACCCAGGGGCACTAATCGCTAATCGTTTGATGATATGAGTGAACATACATAATTACCTTAAAATCGGTGATTGATTAAGAAGCGAAGCACGGGCTGACCGCCTGACACGCATTTTTTCACGCACCTCGAGCAATAGATTTTATCTGTTCCAAATAAAACTTGACATTTAGCTCATCCGTAGCATTTACGTAGAATCGGCTGGCGCTGATATTATACTGCAAACGAAGAGTGTCGAATACGCCTGTACACGTTGGCACATATAAACCCAAATTATCATTGGCATCATCACACAGTATTCCCACGGTGCTGTAGCCGAAGTGATCTAATAGTCTGTACAGGAACATATTCAGATTCTGATGAATATAGGGAGAGAAGTTGGTTAGTGTTGGATAACGCTTCTTGTTGGATAAACCATAATCTTCGAATGTGCTAAAAATACATTAAGCTGTTTAAAGTAACTGCAGACGTAACGCTAAAACTCGGTTTCTAGAAATGTTCCCAACAAATACGTAAACATTTATCCCGGTAACATTGGGCTGTTACGTTTCCTTACCTTGTTAACATCGGAGTATTCCATTCTGCAAAGCATTTAATTATTGTTGGTTGCTCATAATCATAAAGATTTGGCTTTTCTTGCCTACTTATTTAGGTAAATGCATAAATCAATGACGGAAAAACGGGCCAGTTGTGCCGTATTGGCTTTAAATACGAAGTGTTCTGCAAACCTATATAGTTTCACTTTTGTCTTTTGCATTTAAGTACGAGTATTTGCCATTGGCTCGTTGCACCTGCTTACCTCTAGCCAAGGAAGCTACAGAAGATGCAGCTGTTCGGCATCCTGTAACACGAAATAATTTACAAACACTAATAGTGAAATTTATCCATCACATTTGATGAAAAACGCATTTCCCTGTATTACCGGGGCCAAATATACCCAGGACCGGATTTCCAACCAAATTATGGTAATAATAGCGTGTGGCCCAGAATGCAGCTTTCTGGTCCATCCCGTCGCATGTTGTCACGTTGCGGTCATAGATGAGGACCCTGGTTATATTCATAACATCTTTGTAAGACGCCAGATCTTCTTCTGCCTTAGCCATCACCGGAGCAACGAAGCTCAAACTGGTGGATGTCTTGTCGCCCCACAAATAAAACTGCATTAACGCTACGTCCACGGCGGATGCCATTACACAACTGATAGCAGCACAAACCGATAGAAACAGAAAGCACAAAATTTGAGCATTGGATGGATACATCGCGGATCTTGGCGCGATAAGAAGTTTGCTAAATGTTTGAGATCTATTTCCTGATAAGTGCAAATAGCTGTCCGTTTCTGTCGTGTCTGTTGACTGATTTTTTGTAAGTAGCTGAAAGTAACGCGCCACTCGCGCTTTATGATCTAGTGTGATGTTTCTGAATAAGTTAGACGGTTTCTTGATGATTTTTAATAACGGCTTAAAGGCAGACTTGTCATAATTCCATATCTAGCTGGAGGTTTTTTGCTTGTATTATTGTCGAAGTAACCGGTTTCGGCATTATAGCTTGACTGTCTGAACACTTTGTAAATAGTAGATGTTGTTTGGTTGTTCTTGGCGGTAACTAACTTCAAACTTGTAAGACTGAGTACCTCGCCTCTTTTTCGCGATAGCACCACTACTGTTATAAAATGCGTTGCACAAAAGACCTGCCAAGAGCCGTCAAACTCTTATATGTCTTTAAACTGGTTTTCGGTAAGCACAGTCAACAGCACATATATTGGGCGAATTCCTCGCGATCCAGGAAAAGTGACAGCCGGTCAGTCAAACGATGCTACCATTCCTCTTACCACTTCAAATAAATCCAGGATAGCGGCTGCCAGTTGCCGGAACTGGCTAGGCTGCTGTGGAAGGAAAGCTACATTAATTTACAATACGAGTACTGATTTATAAGCTCAAGGCGTTTAAAGTAAACACATTTCTGTTCGCTGACCTTTGTCCTAGCAACTTCCTGTGCTTCTTCCGTTCTCTGGTTACGCTTCTTGCCATTACATTCAGTTAGCTCTCTGCTCAGTTGCGATACACAACGATAAAGCGCTACGATACGGTCCATATTATACGCTACAGTACACAATCATACTGACATACCTACCGATGTGTAACTTCCGCCAGGTACACATTACTGTTTCCCTAAACCCCTCACTGTACAAATACAAACAGTATCGCAAGGATGCTAATTACAATACTTAATCACATTGATGTTCACTCAAACCAAGTCACACAAAGACGGCTCAACAATAAGTAGCCGACGACAAATCGCAGCATCTGATCACAGGCTATGCGATAAAAACACAGATGGAATACGTCATCGCTAATAGAACAGGGACAGAATAATACTGATTATGTCACTGTGGTGAAAAAACACAATCAAAACTTCAAAACACCGCCCATAAAAACGCCCGACACAGCAAGATGTGCAAGCGAACAAAATAAAACCGCAACTTAAGTGATAACAATTTTACCGCAGCAACAGTAGACGGATGTTGGGCGAAAACGGCCGCTTGTTACTCCGAGTTCGTTGGTACCGGAAATTCAGCAAGGTAGGCACGCAAGAAATCGGGTAACATGAAAAGGAAGCGAAGGGTAATGGGGGAAAGCTTCTCTAAGCGAAGATCCTGCAGTCCATCTCTGCACCACTTCTTCCCGCGGTAATGCGAGGACGGACGCGGATCCGCGGTCTGCATCGTGCACAACATCTATAAACAAGGAATACGGTGGACCAAAAATGGATCAACACGATGAACTGCTAATCACAGTTCCAATAACATCTTTGTTTTTAAATATGGGCTTCGTTTTAAGCGCGACATGACTAACTCTGATCAGAAAATGTACATGTGAAAGTTAAGTAGTCAAAACGTGGTGACTATGTAAAGCAGTCAATTTCGGATCTTCTGCTGTATCAGAGCACTTAAATGTATTGATGCTTGATTATAGAATATGTATATGTATAATTACGACGGACTTCCCTTTAGAGTTAAGAACGGTAGCCGAATATTAAAGCCGATTACACCATGCATGAACGTATATATGGGTGATCCGTGGATATGCGTTAACTCTAAACTGGAGCCCTGTGGCGGTTGCGAGAAAATCTAGTAAAAATTATTCAACACTGGTCCTTACTTTGCTGAGCTCCATGCGCTGAAATCGTTGACTGTTGTCCGTCGCGATTGCGGTCAACCAGTCTGCCAGTGCCCGCAATTCGTTGTTGCTCTGCGTCGGCAGCGCCGCCTCCAACGCATCCCACACAGTGGACGCCCCATCCCCGCTAAAAACCAGTCGCGTCATCGGTATATCGATTAAAAGCTGGATGATCTGGTGGAAGGAATCCAGTTGTTGGTCAAACAGGAGGCGCATACTACATCGGACCAGATGAATGGCGTCGCACGCCAGATCCCGGCACGATGCGATGAAATGGTTCAGGTGACCCGAGTTAAAATGCGGCATTCCATTTTCAACGAAGTCGTCGAGATCATGAACCGCACAGCTCTGTGGCCCCGCCGGTTTAACAAGAAAATACCCGAGGTCGGCGATCAAGTTTCTCATGCCAGCGACATACACTGCCGTCAGGTGGATCCCGGAGTCGGACAGCGCCATGTAGCGAATCACGTTTAAAACGGCGAAGATGGCATCAAAACTGACGAAGTTATTGGCGCCGCGGTTATGCAGGATGACGTGCTTGATAGAGGGCCGCAGGCACTTGAAGATGGGCGCAGTCAGGGCGTATCCCAAGTAGTAGTAACAGCGCAGAATGTCGCCAGCAGCGCTTACTTCGATGACAATGTCGCCCTTCAGTGCAGATGTGTCCAGAATTGCTTCCCACGCACAGCACACCCTGCGGCGCAGGGTTCGAGTTACTGTGTCCAGAAGGGCGAACACTTCCTGCCACACATCCACTCCCAGTGCAGGGGACCTGTCTATCATCCCTTGTTCAGCAGAATCTGCTAACTCGCGGAGGAAGCCCGGAACGCGTTGAATCAACGCGTTGTGCAACGACTGAACGATTATCTGTAAAACATTATAACCTAACAACTAGTATTTCCATCACCCGATTTTAATAAAATTTTGACGAACCTCTGCAGGGTCTTTAGGCTGCGGAAGCGGGACTTCATCGTACAGGTCCACAATATACTGCAACTGCCCGTCCACCACGTCGACGCAAACCACCTGGCCTGCAGATCTATGTAACAAGTCCTGAGTATTTAACCGGTACATCTTCGCCTCGTTCCTCACCTGCAGCATTTGTGCTGCGGATGTCCCACGGCAATCAGCGGGCAACGGCATATTGTGCTTCACAAAACGCCCCGGTGGAATGCTTATTGGCAGAGTCACATTCGGAACTCGCTGTCGCTTCTTTGGTTGCTCTGCCCACCAGTAGTCCGGCACGCGAAAGCGCATCCGATGGTGTGGAAAGATATCCATCCAGGTAGCGCCGCTGTCATTCTGCCCCTGAACGACGGTCGCGGTACAGTGCGACCACGATGACAAAGATAAGCTAGACACCAGCGGACTGATGATTTTTCCGGGCCACCAGCGCCATGCACTGCCGGGATGTTCACGACGCAGCTTTTCCACCGAAACCGTCTCCCAAGACTGTGCCTCGCGATGATATTCGGTGAATTCTCGGTTCTTGGACAGGAAGACCCTGTTGAGCGGGATGAGCTCGCGGCGACGGTCGTGGCACAGCAGATCGATGTAGAGACCGTTGTCGGCCACGTCTACCACGCGACCGTACAGCAGGGTGTTGCTGTCGTCCACAACGTTAATCTGACTGGTCCGTAATGCAAACATGGCTGACGCAATGGATTTCCGGCTACTGGCTGACAGTGTAGGTTGAGGCACTTCTCTAAGCTTACGATTTGTTATCAATCTGCCAAAAAGAAAGCAAGCAAATAATTCTTTCCAAGTAAACTTAACATCTTCAGAATTCAAAAGCGTACGAATCAGCGTAGGGGTGGAAAACAGGAAAAGTATCAAAAGCCTTCAAACTGTAAAATAATGGAATCAGAACAGAAAATTCGACCCACTGACCCCCACATCAACACGGCGCCAAATATCACCACATAACTAACATAATACGTGTTTTCTAACCAGCCAGAAAAATTTGGAAATCTGGTACTTTAGTACAAATAAAATCACAGAATTAACGGTGTCACACGGAACCTGATGAGCACCCGATAAAGCAACCCGGAAATTTCGATTTTATTGGGACTGCCATAAAACCTCTAATCAACCGACTAACAAGACTGGATTCTGCTAGCTGTATTGCAGATCCAATAAAAGCGCTTGAAATGGGCAGATAAGGAAAATTTTCAGAAAATGGCGAATAGCGAGCTAGTAAGATGGGCGGTGTCAGAAGGCAAGCCTTACAGATTGAAAAATAAAATTCCGAAAAAAAGCCCCTTCTGCACTGCTGGTATGTATGGTATAACCTGAACTCAGCCTGAGCAGGTGCAAAAGTGTAGTACAGAAGCTGCAGAATTATTATTGGTGTTTTATTTTAATTCTATTGCGTCGGGAAGTGCAGGTCGTCATTTTTTCACTTTGTAACGCCTTTGGTTTGTCCGCATCTCGCTCGTTACTTTACAGTATATATTTGTTTGTGCGGGCGTTTTTGATTGGCGGCCTTTTCCGTTTGCTTCAGCAGAGCTTCTGCTCCCGATGAGAGTTTTGATTCTTTAGTTACGTCATTATAATGCCCAGTTGCCCATGCAGCCCACGATCCTCGTACGTAATTGCATAAGTACAGTACTTGTCTTACTTTTATCGTCAGCGTAATAAAACCACGAGAACTGAGCGAACGATGCGACGCTTAACAACAACCAAAAAGAAAACGAAGTGGCTATTTTGCCGCAGTGTTTGCGGCTAAATAGCCGGTTGGCTATTTTGCCGCACTATGGTAAGCGAGATAGCTTGGTGGCTATTTTACCGCACACTGCGTGAAAATAGCTGCTTAGCTATTTTGCCGCATTATGGTCGGCAAAATAGTCAGTTGGCTATTTTGCCACACCATTATTGCAACCTGTCTCACCGCACACTTTCATTCCGCTCTGTACGGTTAAGTGCCGGAAGTTTTGTAAAACAGCGTTACTTGCGATCCGGCACGGCACAGCCGGGAGTTGGACGGCGAGTTGGGCCCATTACGACTTGCGCCGACCGTCCCGGCGGTTGGTTAAGCTGGGGTTGAGTCACTCGTCACCACGGCATCTCATGTCGGCAGCCTACCGCGGGGTGAATTCCTACATCTCCAGGCTGGTAAAATTGTCCCAAGGAACCCGCTTTCCATATTGTCTCCGAACGGTTGCATTGCCTGCCTTGCGGTTCGATTTTCGAATCCCTGCCTTTTGAATCCGTCATTCGGTTTAGAGGAAATCCATA